AAGGAAATAAGGAGTCAAATGGGAGGCTAGTACAAAAGCACAGAGGTCGAGCATATCTTCTTCGGCCACGCTCACTATCCAAGTCCAAAAAGATATTGTTAAACCATGGAAGTTGTAGTAGACCGGTTCTTCTTAGTGATGACGAAGGGTCTAAATCCTCGTCCTCTGAAGAGGGTTGTGAGGCTGATGAGTCGGTGCAAAATGCTGTTGTTCAAAAGGAACAAAAGGATGTTGTTCAAAAGGATAGAAAAATTCAGAAGAAGATTCTTAAAGATTCTGAATTTCTGAGGTTCGTTGTTGATTCTATAATAAATGGCGATGACCATGATAAAATTCCTTCTCCTGAAGAGAAGCGACAGGTTCCTGTCAAAGAACCACTTCCTTTAATATTCCGGTTTGAAGACGAGGAGCCTCTCCCCCTGGAGAAACAAGAATGGCAAAAGGAAATTGAAGATCTTTTTGCCGAAATGGACATGTGTACCTTAGAATCATGTATTGGCTTCACAAATTCATCTGTTTTGCCAATGCAGGGATCAAAAGTTAGTGACTGTCAGATGGGGAACCACCAACTTGTTCTAGATGAACAAATTGGACTCATTTGTAAAGTTTGTTCACATGTGCATTTGGAGATGAAGTATATCTTCCCTTCTTTTGTAAGTATACGAGTTTTGTTCCTGTCAAGCACTTACCTTTCCAATTAGGAACACAGTTTACAAGATCTATTGTTATTACTTTAAAAGATTCCATCTTTTATCTTAATGATTGTATGTAGTAGTAGTTTTTGCTCTATTTGTGCATGCCAATTTACAAGATGCTTTTTAGCGGTTAGGATAATTGAGAACGGAAGTGTGCTTGACATAGTGCATGATAAGAATAGGGCCAATGCAACTGGTTCTATGCCTAAGAAAGTTGTAATAAGTTCTTGGATGTGGAACTTTTGACAGTTTGTTACATCCTAATTTTTCTCTTTCAATTAAATGGACATGCTAAAGATTTATAGCAGTAAATGGAATTAGTCGTAAATTAGTGTGTGAGGTTTTTTTTTTTTTTTTTGAAACTGGTAATGATTATATATATACTTTTTTAAATTTTTTTTATACCATAACAGTGCAAAAGACTTTACAAAATCCCAACCAAGCTTAGACTACTGCTTGATAAGTATCCTATCATATGAACTAGTGATTCAGCCTCTTCAGCATAGCTTTCTTTACACCAAAAATAAAACAAAAATATGCAATTCATCTTGATTTTCTCCACAAAATTATATTCGTTTTCAAAAACTCTATATTTCCTCTCCTTCCAAATGGTCCACCATATGCAAGAAGGGACAAGTTTCCACCAATTTTTCTAACTAACTTCCCCATCATTCTGGTTCCAACATTTCAGCAAATCAACACTTGTTGCTGGCATTGACCATCTTATTCCTACCATGTTCAAGAATAGTTGCCATAATTGTCCAGTAACAGGACAATGAATGAATAGATAACTATTTATTTTCCCAGCAGCTCCACACAAAAAGCATCTAGAACACAGTTGGAATCCACTTCTTTGAAGTTTATCCTGTGTGAGAAGCATTTCTTGCTATTATTAGCCAAGAAAAGCATACCACCTTAGAAGGAGCCTTCATCTTCCAAATGGATCTCCATGGCTACTAATTAGTTGACTGTCTGTGCCTAATCAGAATGTTATAAGCTGATTTTACAGCACAAGTTCCTTGACTAGTGGGCTTCCATATAAGTGAATCTTCAGTGTCTTTGAACCCTTGGAATCATTCCAAGGTCTTGAAAAATTCAACAACTCTTTCCAACTCCCCATCATGCAGTAGCCTTCTAAAAGTAATATTCCATCTGTGTACTCCTTTTGCTGATTCCAGACTAATGTCTGGCATAGTTTCTTATTCCATACAGTTGTATTTATACTTGATACCCCTGGTTACATATTCCTTTTCAATCCTTACATTTGATTTTATAAACTCTGCTCTCCAATTTATCTTTTGTTCACTCTTAAATTCTTTGACTTGTGTTATCTGCAGGCTGACAGAACCCGAGGGAGGTATGGAAGAAAGTATTTTGGAGATTCATCATCGCTCTTGGATGCTGGCGGCTTTAGATATTATGATTCTTCTGCAGTTCATGATTCTGCTATTTATATGGAAGGAACTGTGTGGGATTTAGTCCCCATGAATGCCAAAACAACAATGTACCCTCATCAGCGTGAAGGATTTGAGTTTATGTGGAAGAATATTGCTGGAGACATAATCCTTGAAAATCTCAGGGAGCCTCTATCTGGTAGTAGGGGAGGATGCATAATCTCGCATCCACCTGGCACTGGAAAAACCCGTCTGACCATAGTCTTTCTTCAGGCATTTCTGAAGCAGTTCCCAAAGTGTAGGCCTGTGATCATAGCTCCATCCAATTTGCTTCTTAACTGGGAAGCTGAGTTCAAGAAATGGGAGGTGGACATTCCCTTCCACAACTTGAACAGCAAAGATTTCTCTTTCGAGGAAGATGAAGCTACTGTTAGTGTCTTCCACTGTTTATCACGTGCTGGAAAAAGAGATCCACAGCTTATACGCATGGTGAAGCTAAGATCCTGGGCTAAAAGTAAGAGTGTCTTGGGAATTAGCTATGACTTGTTCAGGATTCTGACGGGAGAAGATGGGGATGGTTACGCCAAAGAGATTAGAGAAATACTTCTCAAATTACCTGGTCTTCTGGTCCTTGAAGAAGGGCACACTGCTAGGAATGATCAAAGTCTTGTGTGGCAAGCTTTGAACAAGGTTGAAACAGAGAAGCGTATACTTTTATCTGGAACTCCCTTCCAGAATAATATCAAAGAGTTGTACAACACCCTCTCTGTAGTTAGTCCAAAATTTGCTGCAGATTTGGAGCATAAATGGACGTCTCTTAGCAGTTGCATTGACAAGAATGTCCGTGCCTTGGAAGAGCTTAGGGATATGATTGCACCACTAGTTCATAGATGTGGTGAAAATGTAAAGAAGGAAAGCCTTCCGGGTATAAGGGACACTGTGATACACTTGAAACCCACAGATTTGCAGAAGAAGCTGCTTAAGAGAATTCCTGAGAACCCAGGCTCCTTTTACAACCAAAATGCGGTGTCTCTGATCTCTGTTCACCCTTCGTTAGTGGCAAATAGGAGTGAGTTCTCTGACTTAGAAAGCCAGTTAAAAGAAAGAGGATGTCGATTGGATCCAAATGCTGGAGTAAAAATGAAATTTGCTGTTGAACTGATCAGACTTTGTGATGGCTTGAATGAGAGGGTTATAATATTCAGCCAGTTACTTGATCCTCTAAAGCTGATCAAGGAGCAACTCAATTCTCTCTTCAACTGGACTATAGGCCGAGAGATTCTCTATATGGATGGTAAACTTGATGTAAAGCAGCGGCAGATATCAATAAACTCTCTGAATGACCCTAAGAGTGATGTAAAAGTGCTTCTTGCATCAATAAAAGCATGTTCAGAAGGGATAAGTCTTGTAGGGGCTTCAAGAGTGGTTTTGCTTGACGTTCTCTGGAATCCCTCAGTAGAACAGCAAGCAATCAGTCGAGCTTACAGGAATGGTCAGACTAGAGTTGTGCATGTTTACTGTCCAGTGACATCAAAATGGGAAGTTGACAAGATCGAACAGCAGACGAGGAAAAAGTATCATTCTGATGTGCTTTTGTTTAGGAATGAAGTGAATACTTGCCAGATGAATCCTTCATATTCTCTGTCAGATGATAACATACTAGAAGCCATGGTTCAGCATGAGAGTCTCCGTCATATATTTGAAAAACTATCTCATGCACCACGTGTGGTGCCTACGACAAGCTTCCCTGCACGATGAAGGTATGCTTTCTTCTCGTTTGCTGGTACATGAAGCAACCAGACTTGTTTACTGTATTTTTTTAACTGTCTGTTTTTGAAAAAATGGCTCAAACCTTTATCTCTTTCTTGTCAGATCACTTGGAGCTTTTTTTTTTGGTTGCGAATTGATGAAACCTGTTATGACATAATTTTTGAAGCCATCCTACTGTGAGGTGTGCTTTATGACAGGTATACTATCATACAATCAGTAAGATTTTTTCTGAAGATGCTAAATGATGTATTCACAAGTACTACTGTAATTGTTTCCTTGTTAATGATATTACCGATGAATGATCCCAGGACACCAGAAAACTTCATTAGTAACTAGTGCCTTGCCTTTGTCGATAAGCAAACTAGTTATAATTCGTATTACTATTATTAACTGGAGACACTCTTAACCAAATTATGACTATTATAGTTTCATTTGATACTACTACATTGCAATTGAGTTGTTTATACTGAATACAAACATTACAAAATGCTGCGTTTTAGACATGAAAGAAGTTCTTTTTAAAATACAGTTTTGTCTTTTACTTATTCCTTTCCTTCTGGTTTCAGGCTTTTTGATGCAGTTCTACAGTTTTTGTAAAAAGAAAAGAATGCAACAATGTGCAGATTCACACCTGGTTAAGCTGATTCTATAGTTGCAGATGCGAGTTTTCATCAACCAGAAGATGTTCTTGTAACTGTATAAACTATGGTTTTGCCTGTCATTTTCTTTTGTTCCGGAGCTGTGAAAAGTCTTCTGCTCCTTTATCTGTGAAGCATATCCTTAACACAGTTGTATTTGTCTCAAGCCTCTTGGTATATATATATATATGTTTCAAGTTGAAGATAGTAGTAATGAGTCAATTCTGTGATGTATCAAGTAATCATAATGTGTTGTAGCAGGTATCATATCTTATTTTCAGGATATTAAGAAACACCTACAACGAGTAATCGTATAAAAGTTTTTCATTATGGAAGTGAAAGCCCCCTTACACAGAACTGATTTTTTTTTTGTATCAACATGAAGAATGTGAAGTAGTTACACTTAGAAACAGTTATGTCCATAAACCAAAAAAAGATTGGTAAAAATTATATACATATCAATCTTGTTAGAAAACAGAAAAAACACGCGCTATAGGTTTTTTGCCTCAGCTATATGATGAATTGAAGTGGAATCAAGATTTTCTGCCCACCACATTCAAGATCACACATAGTATATGCATTTACAATTTACACATTGTTGTGGCTTCCTTCAAACCAAGTGCAAGTACTTGTCAAAGTCAGATAAGTACTGTGCTAATGAAGTAGTATCATGTTCAATATTACTCTGATCTATTCTTGAAATGGGATTTTCATTAGGAACAGGTCTAATGATTGATCGAGGAGATCTTGGCGGAGATGCAAAAAGCATAGAGGTTTCCAGGATTTGACGACTAATGCTTTCTTGATGAAGTAAGAGTCGTTGTGCACGGAGAGCTGTGATGTATAAACCAGCGGCCAAGAAAACTGTCAATAGGCCAAAAACTCCAGCAGCAGAGAATAACCCCTGTCCAAGTACTAAACAACTTTCTCTTGGTGTTTCCCAGTGTCTTAGGTGTCCAGACTCAACACTTAGCCCTATTAGTAATAATATCTCCCCAACAGCAAATGAAACCCTGTTTAAGAATGAAACACAGCATGCATGCATTTATTAGCTACTCTTATAAAGCTTAAGCTATATTCATGTACAACATAATAATACTATAGTCTATAGAGGCGGATCGTCCAAAATTTTGGTTTTATGGTTTCTACATTCTAAACAAGACAGTTTATTGAGTTTTGAATACAAAATATTTATACATATTGAATACAAAATATTTATAAATATTGATTGAGTTATGAATACAAAACCAATTTTTAACCAAATCATGCGCACCCCTATTTGGGCCAAGGCCCAAGAGAGGATGTATGGGGCTACCCTTCAACTTTTTTGTACCCGTGGAAGAAAAGAGTTAATCCCCTTTAACTTTTACACTTTTAAAATCTATTTGGAAATTAACAAGACTCCTTACTAAATAAATTAGACATGTCATACATTTTCTTGGAAGATTATTTATCAACGATGACAATTATTAAAAAAGAAAATGTACCATATACGTACCACGTAGAAACAAAGAAGAAGCCAGCTTGCCAAACAAGAGTTTTGACAGATGGGGAATGAGGATCCCAATAAAGTACATGAGGAGGAGTTGTTTTGCTCACAACAATCAACAAGTAAGTGTGCTCAATCACCATAGCAATAGCCAAAACAAAAAATGCAGCACTAGCACACAACAAAGGTGTCTTCCCACTACCACTATATGTGCATTCATCTTTACCTCTCATTGTCACCTACAAACCTCAAACACATAAGTCCACGTGTATTCACACTTTTAAACTGTTAGTGAATATAAGTTAAATTTAAACAAAAAAATTTGTACATATTTTCGAGAATGTAAACAAATTTTTAGTTCATCTGAAAGATAACTATATGTAACATGTCTAAAAAGTGTGTGATTTAGTTTCCCTCTACAACACGTTAAAACACACTAATAATGTAAAAAATCTTTATAAAACCGTACCTGAGAACGCGTAGCCTCAGCAATGAGGGAGAGAATGAAGCAAAATAGGCCAAGAAGTATTGACAAAACCATAAGAAATGCACCCATTTTGCTACCTAAATTGGTGCTAGGGCGACTTGGTTCAAGATCAGCATGAGTCACAGCCATTGTGCAACAATAGGAAAACAAATTTGAATTGAAGAAAAAATAAATATACAACTTTAATTTCTCAATTACCCATAAAGAGAATAAGAGTTTTAGAATTACTTGGAACAAAGGTTGCTTAAAGGCCAAATATTCTTTTGTTCTTGTTCTTTCTATTTAAGTTTTCACACATAAGGTTGTTATTATTCAAAGCTTTTTAAGCTTAATCTAAATACAAAAAAAGTGATACCAATTTTATTCAGCTTAGTTAAAGCTATACCCTAAAAGATTAACCTTTTATTCTTGATCTAAGAAAGGGAAAAAACATATTAGCTAGTGTAAAAAAGCTTTCTTTCAAAACGATTCATTATATTATACAATAAAGGACTTTATTAAGTACTAGTGCAAAATTTTGAATTACTTTTTATCATTTGTCGACCAAGATACATGTATAAAAAAAAAATAGCACGAGGAGGCATCTTATTTTTATTTCTTTACCAACTTTTGCACTCAAGGAATAATTTATCAAGTTCTTTGTCATAATGAATATTAAAATATTGAATTAAAAAACATTTGAAACTCTTAACCTCTTCTCCACGTTTCTTTTGGTGGACAATATTTGTCTATGAAGAGGATGGTTTGAATTTATATACGTACTACTTATTGAATAAAATGTTAGCATCTTCAAACATCGTGTGAACTTGTAAATAAAGAATATGAAGCCTTAAAAGGCCATCGCCTGATTATAATTTATAGGGCATATGGAAAAACTTTCGATAAGAGATAGACAGACGGTAGGAAATCCAATTATACGATAGCTGTTCACAGGTCACGTAGCCATTCTTAATTTTCTTTGATTGAATGTTGGCTCTTTAGAAAACATAAAATATTAAATATCCTCATTTATTTTACATCACGTAGCCATTCTTAATTTTCTTTGATTGAACGTTGGCTCTTTAAAAAACATAAAATATTAAATATCCTTATTTATTTTACATCACGTAGCCATTCTTAGTTTTCTTTGATTGAACGTTGGCTCTTTAGAAAATATAAAATATTAAAGATCCTCATTTATTTTACATCGTCCTTAGTGCACTAGCACTTGGAATTGCAGATTCCCTATTAAGATATTCAACATATGACCGATGAAGAACTCCCAAAGGTCGAGATAAATTCAATATTTAGAATTAGTAAATACCTATTGGTTAATTTATATGTGCGCTCACGTATATATATATATATAGAGAGAGAAATTATATATATATATATATATATATATATATATATACGTGAGCGCACATATTGGATTCATCAAATCGATCTATCTTTTCTTTCTCTTTTTAATTTTTGGATAAGAGATTTGACCTTTTAATTAACAATATGAAATTGTGGTTCATGTTATAATGGATGGAGGTGTATATATAGATATGTATATTTGAAAAGTCATGAGTAACTATATAATACAGTTTGCTTAATAAGGTGAAACAGTTTTTCAGATTATTCAACTCCTAAAAAGGGCCTATAGCTTGACACATTATTCTTTCTTTGGCACTTTGCAGAGATGTGGATCCATATATTGCATCATTTTTCATTTTGAGGTATGTTCGATCCACTTCAATAATATTCACCAATAGTTAGATCTACTTCAAGTATATAAGACATTAATCTTATATACTTGTTACATTTGAAATTTATTTTATTAATGTCATTATGCGTGCACATTTTCCTCATGAATCACAAGATTGGTACTATGAAAACAATAATTTAAAAGAAAATATTTATATCCAATGGAAAATGGTTCCTGATAGTTTTAATACAAATGATATTAAGATTTCAGATGAGATATATGGACCTCATGAGTCCCCACGGATCCCACCTCATAGAGTATTCTGTGGAGGACTGGTGGTGAATAAGCGCTCGTTCAGTTATTCTGTACTTTCTAGGTCAATCAATCAATAGTCCTCCAATTATTTCTCGAATGTTATAATAAACACTCGTATTATCCTGGATTGACAAAAGAGTTGTACACCGGTAAAAACATTGGACATTGCATTGCATCATATATGATTATTTTACTTTGCATGCGTTGCTTCTTATTGACTATCGATTGCTACAATCTTAACATTCTTTCTTATGATATAATTATTAAACCTTGCTCCTGGGGCCTATAATGCCTACTGAATACTCATGTTTTTGTGCTAATACTATTCGATGTTGTTGCATCCTTGTTGATGCAGATCCTGGGACTAACGTTCTACGGTGATTCTGACTCGTCCAACTGTCCAAGGCCATTTATACTTCAAAACTTTAGTGAGCCACCCACATTCGGAGCGAAGCCTAGCTTCTACTATCATTTTATTTGTCTAATTTCCGAACAATTGTATATTTGAAACAGTGTTGTGTTCTGAATCAGTAAGTCTTGGTGTAGTTTCATTTGTGCATATATATTCGTATTTCTAGAATTATGAAATGTTTGGGTTTTAAAATTATTTGTCTTATTCAGTATTTTAAAAAACTCTGTTGAGACTCGCCTGGAGCGGGGCTCTATCAAAACTCCCCGAGACTTAAGTGTGGGGCTTAGTTCTGTAAGACTTACGCCGTAAGCGCCCGACTGTCACTACAAGAAAAGGGTGAATTACATGGGGATTTTTTGGGGATCAGTATGAAAATTTATAGGAAAATAAGTTTCATGCGGATTTTCATACTAATCCCTAGGAAAATCTCCATGTAATTCACACTTTTCCTGTAGTGTGTACGCCCTAAGCACGCCCAACGCCCAACGCTCGGGGATCGTCTAACAGATCTTCCACAAATTATGTGTTAAAATCTTTAGTTAACATTGTTGACCCTCATAATTCTTGCATAAGTGAATGATACTTAATAATTTTTTAATCTATAGAGATACAAAGATTGAGAGTAACTCAAATAACAAGTTGTAGTATCACATCTTTACTATTTGGTAACACTCTGAATGTGATTATATATTACGTAACATTTCTTGTAAAAATACATAGTGAAATTTTACTTTTCACTTATCATTGGTCTTCATGATTTTGTCATATGTCTCAAAATTATCATATTTTATTTACCTATTTGAAAGTAATTTTTATTTTTATTCATAATGGAATGATATTTTTATTATAATACTAGTAAGTATATTAATTATTTTCTTTTATGGGGGTAAATTGTATAGTATGATAAAAAAAATATTTTTAGGAATAATGTTTCTTTTATTAATAGAAAGTTAAGATATTAGATTATTTATATTTGTATAGTCATGTTAGAAGTTTTATTTTCTATTGAGTTTCCTGGTTCCGGCTCCTCTCCATTTTCCCCAAGTTCTTGCTTGGATGTGAGGCACATGGAATAGGTAAAAATTAATGACTAAGATTTGATTGATTATAATAAGATTTTAATTATAATTTAGATAATTAATATTTCATAAAAATAGTAATGCCGCAATCATACCTGGAGTATATATTATCTTTTCCATAAATATATTATAAAAAAAATATCTCTTTTTCTAATTTTTTTCCTGCTATTATCATCTGTTTTTGTCCTAAATATGTTAAAATTTTCTATTTTTTTATTTTTTTTCTGCGAGTATTTTAGCTATTAATTATGTGATAACCAATTTTGAAGAGAAAGATCAAAATTGCAATCTAACACTAACCCAATTAAAAAAAAAAACAGAACGTAAATACTCGTAGAGAAAAAAAGAAAAGAAAAAAAAGAGATTTTCTTTTATAATATATTTATGGACAAGATAATATATACTCCAGGTATGATTGTGACATTACTATATTTATGAAATATTAATTATCTTAATTATAATTAGAATCTTATTTTAATCAATAAAATGTTAGCCATTAATTCTTACGTATGCCATATGTCTCACATCCAAGCATGAACTTGGGGAAAATGGAGAGGAGCCGGATCCGAGTTTCCTTAATCATGTTTGTAATTAGGGAAAAGGTAGAAGTACCTCCCTAGACTATGACCCAAATCTCAGAGACACACCTTAACTAAACTAAGGTCCTATTACCCCCCTGAACTCATTTTTTTTTGTAATTTTGTACACCTTTTTGGCTTACGTGGCATCCAAATATCTCCCACGCGCCTCAACTGTGTGGAGTCACGGGGTGTGCCACATAAACCAAAAGCTGTACAAAATTACAAAAAAATGAGTTCCGGAGGGGGGGGGGGTAATAGGACCTTAGTTTAGTTAATGTGTGTCTTTAGGATTTCGGTCATAGTCTAGGGGGTACTTGTGCTGTCTCCCTTGTAATTATTTCAAAGTATTGATGCATTTTTTTATTTTATAATTTTGTGTTATTATATTATTATACTATATTTTAAATTAAAAATTTAAAGATCCATGGGGCTTGCGCCCCACATCTCAAGGCTTATGCCTCGCCGAATACTAAGTAAAACGCCCCGCCCTCACGCTTCCACCTTTTAAAACACTGGTCTTATTATTTATTTTTTGTGTAATTATTTATAATGTTTCTATGTTCTCACATAATAATTTAGAATATAAGGTATGAAATAGATCAATTTTCCCCTACCTTGTGATGGTGATTGAGAATTTGTCTATTTTGATTTCCAAACACTTGTATAGTTGAAACAGTGTTGTGTTCTGAGTCAATAAGTCTTGGTGTAGTTTCATTTGTGCATATTCGTATTTCTAGATTTATGAAACGTTTGGGTTTTAAAATTATTTATCTTATTATTTATTTTTTGATATGATAAAAGAGAAAATGGTCTAAAGCCCCCCAACCCTATACCCGAAATTCCAACTACACACTCCAACTTCACGGGTGTCCTATTACCCCCCGAACTTTATATTTCTCTATTTACTACACACTTAAGTGTTGCCCTGTCCACATAAATCAAATATATTGTCCGGCGTGATTGCACGCGCCGGATCCCCTACCCAATTCAACTCCCAACTCTTGTTTTTTCTTCATTCCCGCCAAAAGACGTAAAAACACAAAAATCATCTCCTTTCTGCGTATTTTCACGAGTTTCATTTTCATCTCCTTCTCCATTTGCATA